TCCCTGGGTTCCCGCCATTCTCCTGCCTCAGCCTCCCGAGTAGCTGGGACCACAGGCGCCCGCCACCGCGCCCGGCTAGTTTTCTTGTATTTTTAGTAGAGACGGGGTTTCACCGTGTTAGCCAGGATGGTCTCGATCTCCTGACCTCGTGATCCGCCCGTCTCGGCCTCCCAAAGTGCTGGGATTACAGGCGTGAGCCACCGCGCCCGGCCAACTGTGGTTCCCCTTATTGATGACAGTGCTTTCAGACTTTTCCACTCTCCTTTAATTTCTGATCCAACTGTCTTTTCCTTCACCGGTAAGACCAGTTTGTCTTAACTTACATGGAAAAAGCAGTCTATCAATTGGAAATTCCTTCATTATCCCATAAATAAAGAACATTACCTCTATTCCCCTGTTTTGCCTATAATTACACTAAATAATCCTTCTAAGAATAATTATTTTATAACTTTCAACTGATCTTATCCAATTGTGCTTTTTAGAGACCTTGGTAGATGAGTACTTTCTTCTCTCTTTTTCTAATCTTTCTCTGTTAGTTTCTTTCTGTTATCCCTTAAGGCCTTCAAGTGTACCTCGGCTTCTCGTCTTCCTTTAGATCTTTCTTCAGTATTACCGTAATTGAATATTTTTGGAATACTATTTTATCTCTTGACTTTTTAGCACTTTTTTTTTTAGTTTGCAGTATGCTCTTAACTAAAATATGCCTTTAACTAGAGTTTTTAACTAGTTACAGTATGCCTTTAGTTTGCAATATGCCTTTAACTAAAAGTGTATTGTGAAAATTATACCACTTCACATAAAATATAATAATTTCGTTCTTGAGACCAGGCACGGTGGCTCATGCCTGTAATCCCAGCACTTTGGGAGGCTGAGGTGGGCGGATCACAAGGTCAGGAGTTCGAGACCAGCCTGACCAACATGGTGAAACCCCGTCTCTAATAAAAATATAAAAATTAGCTGGGCATGGTGGCATGCACCTGTCATCCCAGCTACTCAGGAGGCTGAGACCAGGGAATCACTTGAACCCGGGAGGCAGAGATTGCAGTGAGCCAAGATCTTGCTGCTGTACTCCAGCCTAGGTGACAGAGCGAGACTCCATTTAAAAAAAAAAAAAAAAAAAAAGAATTTTGTCCTTGAATAGACCTATTTCCCCCACTCACGCTTTGTACTATACAGTCCCCTTGAACAATACAGGGCTCAAGGGTGCCAATCCCCCATGAAGTCAAAAATCTGTGTGTAAACTTTTAACTGCCCCCAAATTTAACTGTTAATAGCCTACTGTTCACTGGAAACCTTGCTGATAACCTAAACAGTTGTTTAACACATATTTTGGATGTCATATGTATTATATACTGTATCCTTACAATAAAGTAAGCTAGAAAAAAGAAAATATTATTAAGAAAATCATACTGAACAGAAAATACACTTATAGTACAGTACTGAATTTATTGATGGCACAAGTTGACATCACCTGTTTACAAGGTGCACTGTCTGTCTGAAATGGTGGGCAGCCATAGCTGCAGACTTTAATCCACCACACATGCTGAGCAACTCAGCTTTTTCTTGTAATGTCATGACTTTTGTCTACTTTTTGAGAACATTTCCATCCAGCATCACTAGAGGCACTTCTTATGGGTCCTGTGGTGTTATTCAAGGTTCACACCATGGTATTATGCTAAACACGATGGAAAATATGTGAGCGCCATGAGCGAGCACTCGGTACTGTGATGCATAGGGTCCTGGAGCGGAGATGGCTCACACAGAGGTCAATGGTGCCGCACCACATTTCCAGCGGACCCTCGCACTCACTCCCCGCAGCAACAGCAGGAGGGGCTGCGACACGTTTCCGGGAGCACAGTGTGTACTGCACTTAGTTCTGTGCAGTTAGGGTTTGATACTGCATCTTCAGGATCAATTTGCAAGTCACTCAGCTGCAGATGTTGTCATGACCTGTGTGTTTAGGTTTTATTTTACTTTTAACTTTTTGTAATAGATTTGTGTATATTTTATAGTAGAAAGTGATACAATAGACTACGTCTACATACATTTTATGTTCTCATGTTATACCTAACTTTAAACATTTAAAAAATATTTCTAGGCTATGTGATGTATCTTCAAGGTTTTTCAGATTATCAACAAATCTCCAAAAGTTTTCTAATAGATTTATTGAAAAAATTTCTTGTATAAGTGGACCTGCACAGTTCCAACCCATGTTGTTCAAGAGCTCACTGTACCTTTTAATATGTACTATATCTACAAATATTATAAACTGTTCCAGCCCATTTTATTTATATACATACACACACCCCCACACCCATATAGTTTTTTGGCACAGAGTCTTGCTCTGTCACCCAGGCTGGAGTGCAGGTGGTACGATCTCGGCTCACTGCAACCTCTGCCTCCCGGGTTCAACCAGTTCTCCTGCTTTAGCCTGGTGAGTAGCTGGGACTACAGACATGCAGCAGCATGTGTGGTTAATTTTTGTAGTTTTAGTAGAGACGGGGTTTCTCCATGAGGGCCAGGCTAGTCTCAAACTCCTGGCCTCATGTGATCTGCCTGCCTCGGCCTCCCAAAGTCGTGGGATTACAGGCGTGAGCCACCGGGCCTGGCCCATTTTATTTATAGTTTAAGGGAATTAAGATTAAAAATTGGATTTGGGTTTTTTTTGTTTTGTTTTGTTAAATATTTACTTAGATATTTACCACTTTTGTTCCTTACCATTCCTTCTTGACGATATGAGTTTCTGCCTGATATTGTTTCTTTTCAGCCTAAAGGACCTCTGCTGATATTCCTCTAGTGGATGTCTGCTGGAATGGAGTTCTCATTTTATTTATCTGACAGTGTCTTTATTTCACCTGTATTCTTAAAGAATATTCTTGCTGGATATTGAATTCTTGCTTGACAAGTCTGCCCTCCACACCCTCCACCCCTCACTTTAAATATTTTGTTCCATTGTCTTCCGACTCCATTATTTATGAGAAATCAGTGGTATTTTGATAGTACTTCTCTTGTGTGTAATGTTATTTTTCTCTAGGTATTTTTGAGATTTTTTTTTTTTTTTTTTAGCAATTTGACTTTTATTTCTAAATTTTATTTGTCTTTTTAGGGGTTTTCTGGGCTTCCTGAATCTGTACATTTCTGGCTGACAATAAATTTGGCATATTTTTAGTCATTGTTTCTTCAAGTAGTTTTTGTTTTTTCATTCTCTGTCTGTCCACTCATTCTGAACCCCAGTTACATGCATGTTAGACTCCGTGATATTCCCTTCATGGTTCTATGACTGTATTCATGTTCAAAATAATTTTTTCCTATGTCCTTTGGAATCATTATCTCTTGACCCACGTTCAGATTCACCATCGTCTGTAATCTGTGAATCCCATCTGAAGAATTTATTGCAGACATTGCATTTTTTCAGTTTTGGAATTTCTGTGTGCTTCTTCGTTCTTAAATACACTTTCTCTTTCTTTGTTGTGATTTCCTCCTTGTTTACTCGTTAGGAGCATGCTTTTCTTTCAGATGTGCTAAAGCTGCTTTGAAATTCTCCCTTCTTAATTCTGATGTTTGGTCATCTCAGGGCTAGTCTTCACTGATTATGTGCTTTCTTGGATATGGACCTTGCGTTTTTGTTTCTTCATATGTTTAGAAATTTGGATCATCTCTTCATTTTTTAAAATGATTCATTGTAGAGAGGCAGGATTCAGGGTTCTGTTATGTTCTCCTGAAAGTACTAGTTTTTTGTTTGGTTCTGTTTTAACTGGTAGCTAACTTGACTGAAGTCAAACTCTAGACTCTACCTTTCTGGCATTAGGGAGCTGCTGTGGTGGTCTCGGTTCCATTCTTTTAGTGGATATAGGTTAGGGCATGACAGGTTAGATGTCAGAATGAGATCATACACACATTCGGCCCCTTCTGAGGCACTCTCCTTTCTGAGCTTCCATTTCTTTCTCACTTTGCAGCTGCTGTGGTCACCCTAATCTCTCACCTCTGCTTCTTCATGTCTGGGAGTCTGGGAGTTTTCTGTTTGAGTTTTAGCAGCCATAACAGAACTTTATACACTCACATGTACAGAATGGAAATCAGAATTGTAGAAATGGCAAACTCTGTGTATTAAAGGGTCATGGCGGGGCGGGTCACAAGACCACCCAAAATTAGATGGTTTGTTAGAAGGACTCCCCAGGACTCAGCATATGATCCTCCTCCTGGCTGTGATTTATGACAGCAAAAGCATAGAGCACAGTCAGCAGCAAGAAGAGGCACTGGGGTGGCTTCCAGTGGAGACCAGGCTCAGCCTCGCCTCTGGAGACTCTGATTTAACCTTTATGTGTAGTCAATGAATGAAACAACCTAAAGCCTATGTCTTTTCTGCTCCAAAATTAATGGTATGAAAGTAGCTATGATGTGTGTTTTGTGAAAGCTTTCCCATGTGATTTTATAAGTATGCATCATGAGCACATGGTTCAGACACATGGAATAAGCACGTCCTCATGGCTGTAAGGAAGGCCACGCTTAGCTTATAGTGACCAGTGCCTGCTTGTGGCTGTAAGGAAGGCCACACTTAGCTTATAGTGATCAGTCCCTGCTTGAATGAAAACATGTAAACAGATCTAGGAATTTATTAAACTGTTTTATAAAACTTATGAGGAATTGTGATAGTTCCTTAATTCCCCCTGAACACTTTGAGGTGACTTCAAGATATTCCTAAACAGGCTCCACCTCTACCATTGGAGCCCCCTGGCAGGCCCTGGGGCTGCCTGTTGTGATGTCTCCTGCATGATTTTGATTCACACCTGCTGTTCAAGGGCACACCCTGTCAAGCTTAAAAATGGTTTCTGTCTTTATCTGACATTGTAATTTATAGTGTTGACACACAAAAATCTAAGAAAATCAATGATCGTTTTTTGTAAATAATATATGAAAAATATTAATTAGCAAATGAGAAATTTCCAAGTAATTTTACTAAATTATAACATTATAATCAATTCAAATGTTCTGTATTCCAGGACCTTTTTTCTATCAGTGCTTATGTTTATGCTCAGAAACCACAAATGGACATTCACAGTTTTGAAGGCACATTTACCAGGGTAAGTTAAACCTGTTGTTCAGTACAAATAGAGTTATTGTGTAAGTTAAAAGTAGCAAACCTTTATTTTGAGACAGTTCAGTCAAGAATAAATTCAAATAGAAGTTTCAAACTAGAAAGGGAAAACCTATATAATGTTTGAAGTTCTTAAGTGTACCCATATTTAATATGTCTTTGGGATACATTTAGTACAGTTTTTGGAATTTTTTTAGCATAGTTACTAATAAGATCTTTATCTCCTAAAATATTGTGAATCAGTTAAATGAAGTAATTTATTTTCATTTTGACCCATAGTTGGTATACCATAATATCCACATCATGTCTAGCTTTTTACTGTCTGAGTTGGGTGGGTGTTTGTATGTATGTCTGTGAGTCTGTATGTGCATGTTATGTTTCTTTATACACATATGTATATTTCATGCCACACACTTTATATTATTATAGAGTTTTGTTAAAGCTGGAAGAACTTTGCCCCTGACTAATAGGGCTTGAGAGACTCAGTAACTCTTTATTTTAACAGCTTATAGCTGATATTATAAATGCTTTATAGTAAGGGATTTTAGTACATGACTATAGGTTATTTGTAATTGCTGCAGTTATTTTAAAAATACTTTTGTTGGTGAATTCATCTTTTATTTCACTCTTGGTCACATGCAGTTATTGGCAAGCAGTTGTCATCAGTTGAAAAAGCATTTTCAGAGCTTATATAATGCGACAGTTAGTGTGCAAACTCTGGGAATGTGAAGTGCGGGCACTGTGAGGTCATTACAGTCCTGTGGTGCTCTGGGCCTTTTGCAGCTGCCTATTTCCATAGGTGCTGCACACAAGCATGCATAAGATGTTCATGGAGGGACAGAGGAGGAAGCATGTCCTGGTGATAAGTATCATGCAATGAATTCTGAAATAAACTCATATCTTTTTTTTTTAAACAAAAGTAGTTGTTATGAAAACAGTGTGTTCTTATTAAAGACAACATATGAGAATAAATGTTACAAAAAGGTACCCTTAGTATGATAAATGAAAAGTTATTTATGTAGCCACTATTAAGAATTTGAAATATTATTTGCTTTCTTCCTTTCCTTTTCTTACTCTTTTCTCTAATTTATATTGCTCATGACTTTGAAAAGTTGGAAATGTTTGCTAGACAATGTGTGGAAGTACAAGGAAGTCAGAGAGCAAGTGCGGGTTGGCTGAAAAACCTGGTTCAAAGGGAAGCATATGGCTCAGTATGCAGGTGTGACAAGGGCTGGGCCATGTAGGACTAGAAAGATATCCAGGCTTGACCGGAAGAAGCCATTGAAGGATCTTCAGCTTAGAAGAGAAATGATAAATATATTTTTAAAAGATTCATTCATAAGTTCTGATTCCCTTAGGATAATGGTGGCCACTTAATTTTGTTATATACCACATAGCCTTCCAAAATCATACAGGCTAACTATGAGAGTAGAGAGTGTAATCTGTAGCTCATGTTTAGCAGAAATGTGAGACAGAAAATACTGTGAACTTCAATTTACTGTAAGTGGGGAAAATATCCAGAATAACACAGTTAGCTCCAGAGCCAGGATGGTGCAGCAGAAGGAGATTGTCTTGGGATGCTGATATCATGTAGGTTTTGCATTCAGAAGAAAAAGGATTCCTAACTAGGATAATGCATCCTGTGAATGAATTGGGTAAGCAAAGCGATGGGACATTGAAGGGACTTGTGGAGAAGTACAGATTGGAAGTGACCTTGGGGGAATGTACAGGGGCAAGGGGCACTGGCAAAGAGTTGGTGGCTCTCGGAGGCTTAATTAGGAAGAAAAAGACAAAGTTGACCTTTCTGAAACATGATAATAGCAATCAGAAGAGTCAGTCCACACCACCCCAAAAGGATGCTTTTCACTGAAGACATTGACCTTCATTGTGCCTGTAGAAGAAGACACTCTTGGATTAAGAAACAAATTCCACCTCCCATCCTTGGAATAGGATTTCCTATTTGTACAGATTCAAGAAAAACAGCTCTTATTATTATGAATAGAGGAAGGAACCCATTTTGCTGTCTCACCCAGGCTAGAGTGCAGTGGTGTGATCATAACTCATTGCAGCCTCAAACTCCTAGGCTCACGCAGTCCTCCTGCCTCAGCCTCCTGAAGTGTTGGGATTATAGACACGAGAGCCGTCGTGCCTGGGCAAATGTAGTTATCAACAGAAGAAAACAGATAAGTGAGAAGCACATTTTCAATTGATAAAAAATTTCTAAAAACAGGGAAAGGAAAAACCTCAATGCAAAGTAATTCTATAACAATGCAACAAGCCTGATTTAAATATAACTAACCAAACGATGGTACTTAGGAAAGAACACCGTAAATCAGACATTTAAAAACACAAGAATCAAAGTGGAATAAATTTCTCAAGAATGTAAGAATAAAAGCTTAAGAATAAAACAGGACAATGTGAATGAGAAGGCTAACTGAACTCAGAACACTGAACATGAGCATCTGAGAAGGGAGGACTGAACCACAGCATGCCTGTGCGGGATGCACAGTAAGAGATAGGGAGGTTGTAAGAAAAGAGTCGGGGAAACGAGATGATTAAAGAGGTGAAAAGGACTAGAGGTTGATAGATGTGGAAGAACGGCAAGAAAGACCCGACATGAGAGTCTTGAAACAAAATCATGAAGCGGTTTGAAACATTGACAGCTCAAGTATGTGTTATGTGTTACTAAATACAAGGATGTCTGAAGGTACACACTGAAAGGGCCCAGCATGCACGTGAGAGAACTTCAAGACATGTAGCTGCTTGTCATATTTTACATATACAGGGAAAAATCCTTTGGTCTCCCTGGGAAAATGACTAGCTCCCCACAGTTGGAAAGGGCCAGGTTGGTGTCAGTGTTTGCAGCATGCAGGGCCATACAAGAGCAGGGCAGCCTTTCCAGGAGGCGCAGGGGAAGAATGTGTGAGTGGAGCGTTTTGCTCCTTCGAGACTGTCCTGCAAGTGCCAATTCTGTGGAGAGCAGTCTCAAGCTCTCAGAATTCAGAGAGAATTCTGTACAATACAGAATTCAGGTGTGTTGTACACATGAGCCTTTTGTGAATAATCTCACAGAGGATTAGCTCTGCCCAGCCTATAGATGACCTGGATGAACTTTAAGTTTTATGGTGAGCACTGAAGCTCTAACAGATCTAAGAATAAAACAGTGGAGGGAGGATGGGTGGAAGATGGTACAGTGTATATGAATTTTATATGCTTCCTCAAATAATCAGCTGAAAAGCAGGAAGAGGAGGAGAGGAGAAAATAGAAGGAGCTCATTGGTTGCTACATGGGTGGAAAGGCTGTCAGAGACTTTATTGAAAGCTGACGAGCTCAATAGTAGCTGTCTAAGCAAGGAGAGTAGGATGAAGGCAGGCTCCTGGGACACTGGGAAAATGGTAGTGACCAGAAAATACACACCTCACCAAAAAATAAATTTGGTTTTAAAAATTAGACAACAGTTTATCAATTAATATGGCTAAAGATGCATAGTACGCAGGCTTTTTCACACGGAAAATTGGATCAGAAAGGCTAAAGGGTTAAGGAAAGATACATCAAGCAAATACAAATAAAAAGGAAGCAGGAGTTGCAGCCTTGGTATTTGACAAGAATACCAGTATAGAATCGAGAAAGCATTTTAGAATGAGGAAGAGAAAGATGCTATAAGATAATAAAGTCCGTCATAGGAAACTTTAACATCCACCTGCAGTGCCTAGTGGGTCAGGTGGACAGAAAGGTAGGAGAGGTATAGAAGAGAGAGCTCAGAACATGAGCAGTGAAATATATCATTTTAAATTTTTATTGAACTTTGTTCCCCAGTAATTTTTATTTCAGCATATATAGGGTGTCACCAAAAGTTGAACATACATTTGTTTGTAAAGAAATTTTTAGTTCTGTAACATAGAACTCATACAGACAATATTCTCTGATCACAGTGCAATAAAATTAGTAAGCAGTAACAAAATCAGTGAATGAAACGACTTTCTGCCTGCAAATGTAAATACTATATATTAATTAATTTTTGTATCCAAGGAGAAATATGAACTGAAATTGGAGAATTTCTAAAAAATATTGGTAACGGAGACACTACATATCAAAATCTGAATCTGGTGGATATGTGTAGAAATAGGAAAATTTATAATCTTTATATATAGAGAGAGCAATAAAAATAAAAGAATGAAAATTGATGAATTAAGTATATGAAAAGGTGAACAAAAAGTGTGCAGAGGGAAGAACATATAAAGGTTTATGTTAAGGTCACATAACTACAAAACCGTTCTGTTAGGGTGGGGATTTCAGAGGCCAGGTAATAAATGGAGGTAAGTTTTTAAAAAAATATTATGTGTTAAGTGATATAATATTGATTCAGAGTAACCTGTGATAAGTAAAGGTTGCATACAATAATTCTCAGAGCAACCACTAAAAAAAGAAAGAGGTCAATAGAGGTGATGAAGTTAGATGCTAAAGTGGGATCAACTGGTTTCTTTCCCCTGAAAAAAGATAGGTGCAGGAAACGAAATACCAGGTGTGACAAGTAGAAAACAAAGAGCAAGATGGTTGACTCAGTAATTAAACATCTCTGCAGTTAAAAGGCACAGACTGTCAGACTGGAGAAAAACATAGTACCCCCAGACTGATAGAACTAATAGGCAACATAAAATCTACAAGAATGGATTTTTTCCTTCTAATCTATAGAATACGGACATGTAGTTTATTAAAACTATAGAATATTAAAATAACATTAGGAAGGCACTTTAGCATATTGACAGATATTATTAAATGCAACAGCTACATAATACACATTTTTAAAAATCTCATGGAACAATCCCAACTATAGTTGAATAGAATACAAGTCTTAGTATATTTTTTTTTAATTGTAATTATATATATATACACACACACTAATTACAATATGGAATTAGAAATAAATAAAAAGTCTTCAGAGCCAGACTCCGTCTCAAAAAAAAAAAAAAAAAAAAAAAGTCTTAA